AAAAAAAAAAGAGGGTGCCTATGTTTCCAGCCATCTCTCTCTGGCAGATGGAAACCCTGCTGCTTTTCACAGCCAGATGTTATGTGGGAACCTTTCTCAGTTCTGGTGCTCTGGGATGGAGAGCCCAGCTTGGGGTTTAGGCCCAGAGTCCTCAGTGGGAACCTCCCACAGCTGAGATCTTCCTCTGGACCTTCAGGTGCTGCCTGTGGGAGCCCAGCCTGCCCTCTCGTGCCTCTGCACTTCCTACACGTCTCTATGTGGTCTCCACTTTACGTCCTGGGTTATGAGGGTGCTCTCCAGCTAGTCTTCAGTTGATTACAGGATGGTTTTTCTCTATTTTAGTTGTAATTCCAGTTGGTCCTGGGAGAGTGTCAGTGCAACTTCCACTCAATCTACCGCCATCTTGGAATCTCTCAATTGATTTTTATAATAAAATGTGATTTGCATCCTTGGAAACCCTACTATTTCTGGAGGTCTTCATCAGTACCCATGATTTAAACTCTTCGATTTCACTCAGCTTTGTTCCCACCGCTCTCCTTACTCCAGATCCACATTATCCACAGTCTATGGACACTGGCACCATCAGCTATCCTGTCAGCATCACAAAGAAAACAAGTTCCATAGTAAATGCAAAACCCATTATCTTTTTATAAAATCAGTTCCATCTTCTCTTTTACTCTAGTGCCCAAAATGCTAAGCTATTGCCTAAAATCCTCAACTTGAGACTGCCACGCCTCCTCAGTGCCCCCCACCATCTCATTGGTCACCAGTTGTTTTCTATCCCTCATCCTGAGTATTCCTTTCTCTCCTCCCCCCTCCCGAATGCCTTAGTTCTGGGTCTCATTTCTATTTATCTACTGTATCCTCTTCTGGGCATTTTCTTTTTTTAAACTTAAAAAAAAAAAATTGTCTTTATCGCTTTCAGAGAGCAGAAAGGAGAGGGGGAGAGAGAGAGACAGAAACATCAATGATGAGTCATGGATCGGCTGCCTCCTGCACGCCCCCCACTGGGGATCGAGCCCGAAACCCGGGCATGTGCCCTCACCGGGAATCCAACCTCGATCTCCTGGATCCTAGGTCAATGCTCAATTGCTGAGCCACACCAGCTGGGCCACTTCTGGGCATTTAAATGTTACTAGGCTCTTAGAATTCCCGAAGGAAAGAAACTCTTTAGCTTGTTTCCCCAGCATTTCCAAAACTCTGGGACCGCACGATATCTATTTTAATACAGCACCTTTGCACACTCTGGTAAAGGAAGGGCTCTGGAATCAGCTCCTAAGTTGGGCGCCTAAAGCTCTTCACACACTTTTCTTAGTGGACTATCCCAGTTTCACCTCCTATTCTCTCTCCACCCAGCACATGCCATATGCCTTAGCTGTCTGTAATTTCCCAAACATGCCCTGCTCTCTGCTGTCTTGCCTCACTGTGCACATGCTCCTCTCTTTCTGGAATGATACACCCAAGTCAAATGCCACCGATAGAGGGAAATTTAGTATGAGCTGGATGATATCTTATACCGGGTCCCACATGAACAGCCACAGTTACTGTAAAGTGCCAAAGGCCTGCACCACCAGAGGGTGCTGCAGAATGAAACAGGAGGGCAGGATCTGAGTGAGCTCCCCTCCCACTGAGCGAGGGCCATGCCACAAGCCAGCTGCTGGTCACGAGCTATGAAGCTTTCCACATTCTTACAACTTTAGAGTTATAATGACCCTGCAGGCACCCTCATGCCCAGACACTGCACGTAGTCCTCCTTACCCTGAGAAAATGTCTGATGCTTGAGGAAAATCCTCCTAACTGTGAGCATAAGGATAGGTAGAAGAATGCAAACCTAAGGGCTCTTTGAGTTAAGACATAAACGGGTAACCAC